TATGGTTTTTTATGTTCTTTGATATGAGACACTATATTCATTTTGATATATTTATATGTGTTCTCATTATCTTATTGTATGTGAGTTAAATTTAGCATATTTTTTTCATTTATGCTTGCTCACATGTTTTTGCCTTAGCATTCTATTCATGTATCCTATGAGGCATTTTGATAGGGGGAGCAATCCCTATATATATATTTTTTGTTATACTCACCCATGCTCATATGTAGGGGGAGCTTTTGCTCTCTTCATTGTTGGTGTTTTTCCCTTTTTGATGTTGTCAAATGGGGAAAAATATTGTGAGTATAGCCTTTCTTGTTTATATGCATGATAATTATAATTTACAATATTAATTTCTTTTCATGCATATATCTTTTTATAAATTGTCTGTCATCATCAAAAAGGGGAAGATTGTTAGCCTTCTTGTTTTGATAATGATTTATAAATAATTTACTTCTAATGTTGTTTGTTTAATATTTGTGTATTTCTATTTATTGTAGACAAACAACGTGTTGGAGGTTGGATGGATTGCGCTTCAACGATTAAATCCAATGGAGGTTGGCGGAATTGTGGAGTGAAGACTATGCAATTCAAATTGAAGATCCAAGTTCTAGCTTCATCCGCAAGTGTACCAAGTTGAGCTACATCGAAGATCCATCAAGCTTGGGTATATTTAGTTTAGGTTTTATATTATGTGTGTTAGTACTTTAAGCTCAATCATATATACACACACATATTTGGTTTATATATATATAGTTATATATATACACAAGTTTTAGTTTATGGACTTAACAATCATTGTATACATATTTTATTAAGTCTATAAAATTATTTCATAGGGTTTCAAAACATTGTTTATGTCAAAACATCAAATTTTATGTATATCACATTTATATGTTTTGGACACACTTGCAAAATACATGAGTTTTCACAAATGAGAAATTCAATTTGAGAAATTCTTTTTCTAACATGTTCAATTTCATGTTTATAAATGTTTCCCAAAGTTTTATCAATTTTGGAATTAATTTGTTATGATTATTTGAATTTACAAAATCAAGTTTTTAATAAGCTCATGTTCGTGCACATGTTCGTGCATGTTTTTACAAAACAGACACGTTTTCACAATTAGGAAATGCGATTTAAAAAATTTCTTCGTTTACATGTTTATACTCATATATATAAATATTTTTCCAAGTTTTACTAATTTTGGAGTTGTTTTGTTATTTTTAATTGAATGTACAAAACCGAGTTTTTAGCAGTTTTTTAAGAAATATATCTGTGTTCAAATATTTATTTCTCTCAACTAGGAAGTAATATTTCAGAAATTCTTTCTCTAAAATGTTTATCTACATGTCTAGAACCTTTTCTAAAAATTTCATAATTTTTAGAGTTGACTTACTATTTTTAATTGATTTTACAAAGTCAGATACGTAAAATTCTAGCATCTATCAAAAATTGGAAAAGTGCGGTCGACCGCCATGGTCGACCGTGATACAGTGCGGTCAACCACCACGGTCGACCGTCAACAGTCTAGAGATCAGTTTTGTAGTTTTTCTTCTTGCAATCGACCACCACGGTCGACCGCCGATGTTACCGTTACACAGTAACGGTAACTTGCCGATTTTTGTTTTTTAGTGGGTTTTTTGGGGTTTTTGGGTTATTTTCTTCTACCCTATATATACCCCTTTGCCATAACTATTTTTTTACTACTAAAGAGAGTATTTTTAAAATAAGTTTAAAGAGTTTTAAACAAGGGTTTAAGTTTGGTTTAAGTTTGTTTAAGAAGCTTTTAAGCATTTGGAAGTTTGAGTTTGTGAAATCAATTTCGCAAGAGCTTGAGGAGATCATCTATTGGTGTTTGATCATCCAACTCTTCTCCTTCCACTCTTGATCTATTGAGAAGTTTTCTAAACTCAATCTAGCTTTATATTTTATATTGTTTGATTATCATTTTATTAAGCTAGTGTTCATATTGAGTTTAGTTGATTTTATTTTCTCTTTGTTTACACATACACAACCATTGAGCTTATTGTATTTATATTCATAGTATAATTGGGTTGTGGGATTGTGTAACTTAGAGAGTGAGCTTATAATTCGTTCTCATCCATTGTAGAGAACAAACACTTTGTATTGTGCTTATTGTGAGAATCACTTTGTAATACACTTGTATACCGAGAGAAGTGTGTGGCGAGAGTCGGGGATCGTCCCAAGAGGAGTGACATCAGTTGACGAACCTAGGGAGAGGTTGTATCCGAGCACTTGAGGGAGACACGTCTAGTTCCAACACTTGAGAAGGTGTAGAGTGGGATTACAAGAGTGTTGATTGTAGAGTTTTCGGTAAACTAGAAAACCGAGTGTGAGGTGTAAACGTTATTCGAGTAAACGTAAAAAACCCGGTTGTGATAGTGGATTTCTCCTCGGGAGTGGGGAGCGGAGACGTAGGACGGAAGGTCCGAACTCTGTGATCATTTGATTGTGTTTGTGTGTGCTTTGGCGTTCATTTATATTTGTGCTCATTGCTCATATCGCCTTTGTCTCATTAGTTAGTTTGTCCACTTCTTTGTTTATATTATTTACCATTGTGTTGTTTATATATCCTTGCTCATATATTTGTAATATCTCTTTGCTAGGATATATTCATTTGTTCATATTGCTTATTCTTGCTTGTAACATATTGTATATCTATCTTGTAAGAATAATTTATTAATTAGTTTTAATTGGTATAAAATCGGATTAGATTAGCATAAGACCCTAATCACCCCTCCTCTAGGGGCTAACACATGTAAGCATTTTAAGTTGACACTTTGTTTACAAATTGAAACGTATATTATTAGTTTGTCATATATGTGTGCATTCAATTCTCAGCTATTATGTCAAATATAACTTACAATCTTAAAAAAAATTATGATAACATTAATATTTGATTATTGGAGGGGTTACAAAAAATAGAAGTTAATATTAGTGGACAATTAATAGGAGAGTTATGTCATTATTAAGAATGTATGCATGTATATGCATGTGTTTATATGTATGCAAAATTTTTATGATAACATTAATATTGGATTAGTGGAAGGGTTACAAAAAATAAAAGTTAATATTATTGGATAATTAATATGAAAGTTATGTCATTGTTAAGAAGAACAATTTTTCAAAACAGTCCCATTTCATTTTTTTAAATCGACCAATTTTTTTTATTTACCAAAACCGACCCGTTTTTTACCACGTCAACCTAATCACCCTCCTAAACAGTCGGGGTTGCCAACCCCGACTATTTAGGAGGGTGTTAAACCCCAATTAGAAGCTTTAAACCCTAAAATTTTATGTCCTAAATAGTCGGGGTTAGCAACACTGACTGTTTAGGAGGGTGATTAGGCTGACGTGGTAAAAAACGGATCGGTTTTGATAAATAAGTAAAAATAGGTCGATTTTAAAAATAAAAAAAAAATAAAATTGGGCTGTTTTGAAAAAGCCTACAGCTTCGGTGCTCCATGATAATTTGTTGGGGGCACCGGTGACATATCTATAAATAAATTCCTTAAAAATAGCTCTCACATTTCTAGATAGATAGATTTGACGGTTAGGAGGTGTTCCACACCCAAAATTGTAATTAACTATAATTTGAATTAGGTAAAAAAGTTATTTTAGGAAATACAATTTAGGAGAGAAACAAAATTTATGATTAGACATCAATGTAAATAATTCCGAATCATTTCGCTCTCACAATCATTCTAATGTCGACTGAAAAATATTACTCTTTCTACTATCACTTTTGTAAATATCTTGAAAATTGATGCCTAACATTTAAGCCTAAAAAAATCATGGCCGGTAAGAATAGTACCCCCTTTTTCTGTTTAATTCCTCCTTAGTGACATTGTCAATTTAGCTGACCTTTAATTACTCGTTATTTTCACCACTATGTCAATAGTCTAATAATCTGTTTTTTCTGTTTTTAAATCATCTTCGCCTTTAAATCAAAGATATAATCACTTTCTTTTCTTTTTAATTTTTCCTTCATAAAATCAGTTGATTTTTTGAGAGTACGTTGATCTTCCTACTCATTGATTAATTGGAAAGGCTGATTGATTTTGATATGAATTTTTGTTATTTTTGATTTCGTTCATTCTAAGTTCTTCCTCTATGAAATCACTGCTTCGTGTGACTTGACTATTGTTTAGCCATCAATCTAAGTAGCGAAATCATTGCTTGATTGAAATAAAAAAAAGTGAAAAATTAGAAGAGGATGAATTATTTGTATGGATTTGATTCGGAAAGGAAAGAGGATGCAGATGAAATGAGTGGATTGGTTTTGCGGGAAATGAGTTCTGTTAGGTATGATGATTTCCAAAGTGTTACAAATACCTTTTTACCCTTTTAAATAAAAAATTAAATACAATTATTATAGGAGCCCCGAAGCAAAACTCTTTGAAAAATTGTTCTTTGTTAAGAACGTAGCCTGTCGTGGAAACAATAGCCTGTTGTGCGACGTGTCCGATCCATTTCCTCCGGGTCCAAACAAAAGTCAAACCTGTTCCCTCCCCTTTCAATTTCTCACGCTCTCCACCAACCCCTTTTGTCTCTTCGAACGTCCCTAACACCAACCCAATTAAACTCCCCTCTCTTCAAAATCTCCGCCCTTTGACGGACTCCTCAAAATCACCAACTCCCTCCGTTTAAAAAAAAAAAAACCAACCGCGAACCCCTCTCAAATCCCTAACACCTAAAAATCCACAATGGCGCGCTCTCCACTCCTCCATTTCTCCAAAGCCCCGCGTCTCTCACCCGCCACCCACCCGCCCCTCGCGATCCGCGCCTCTCCTCCGCTCCGTCGCCGCCCCTTCGCGGCGGCACGAAGGGCTCTGCTCTCAGCTGAAGTCGGTGAAGTGGAGGCAACTCATCGATAGGCAGAGGGAATCCGACGGTGGAGGTTTGATCTTGTTTACTGATACTTTGTTAGATCGCGGTCCTAGTGGAGGCTTCGACCGGATCTACGAAGGCTTTCGGAGTTGAGGGATGGAGATAAGGCGTTACGGCCGGAAGGGGTGTTGCAGGCGTGAGGAACATTAATGAGAGCTTGGCGCCGAAGCTTGTTGGTGTTGATGTCAGGTGAGATTGTTTAATGAGTTCGCAGTTCTTGATCAGTAGCTCCATAGTTGATTATATGAGTGGACTGGTGTTCTCTTTCTCTCTCTCTCTAACAACTCAGTTCGCAGTTCTATTTGATTATTCACAAGTTTGCAGTTCTTGATTTATTGAGATGTGACTGTTTTGCTAGTGGAAATGGTTGACGTGCAGGTAAATTGCCAGAGTTCGTTTAGTTCCATATTTATTATATCGGTGGTTCTATTATATGTGTCGTGTGATGTTAGTTTAAAGAGAGATTTGGGTTTCTTTAGAGGTAATTTTCCTTAATATTTACCCTTTGCCTGTCCTGTACATCTGGAAGCCCTTAGCACACAAAAATGTTGGTGTTAGCCATATATGAGGTACAACTCCTTGCAAGTTGTGATGCTCATGTAATCTTATAAATTTTAATTTTAGTGCATGTGACGTCATTAAGGGTTTAAAAATCTGATGTATAATTAGGTTAAGATTGGAATATTTTAGTAATTCTGACCTATGCATTGACTGTTCAGTTATAGAGAATGGATGATCTTAATTGGTTTGAAGGTGAAGTTTGTAGTTGTATTGAAATTTCCACCCAGTGAGAAAAGATATATATAAATTGGGAAGGAGAACAAGCAGAAGACATGTCGATGGGAATAATGTTGAAGATCAGAGAGGGAATGAGAGGAGAAAGAAAAGGTAAAACCTAGAAATTAAATATAAAACATTCAAAAGGAACTCATTCGACTTTCAACTATCATTTCTCATTGCATTTCATGTATGTTTATTCTAGCTTCCTGAAGCACAAGCTGCCCTATAACGTTAGGCTTTTAAGGTTGTTTGCGCTTAGTAGTCAATAGTTCACGATATTAACTTATATATATCGCGACAGTAGGTATTCACTATATTCCACTACTACTATTAATTTTTAATTTGATTTTTCATTTATCAAGAAAATAGGTGGTTATGATGTTCCTGAGTTTAAGGGCTGCATCACATAAAATGGTAACCAGTAGATATTTTTTTCTCTCAACAGGAACCAAGATGATGTTGATGCTGTCATGCTTGAGATAGATGGGACTCCAAATAAATCAAAACTTGGTGCTAATGCCATTCTTGGGGTATCCCTTAGTGTATGCCGGGCTGGGGCAGGGGCTAAAGGAATTCCTTTATACAAACATATTCAGGAAATATCTGGAACAAAGGAGCTTGTTATGCCAGTTCCAGCTTTCAATGTGATAAATGGTGGCAGCCATGCTGGTAACAATCTGGCAATGCAAGAGTTTATGATACTACCAGTGGGTGCTAGTTCATTTGCTGAGGCTCTTCGTGTGGGCAGTGAAGGTGTTATTCTGTGTTCCTTTTCCTATAAGGTTTCTTATAGTGGATGCTATTAGTACATTATATATGTTGTGCATTTTGGAGTATCACATAATTCTTAATTGAGTAGTTTCACCAGCACGTTATTAATCTTTTAAGTTTATTCACTTCATCCAATCCCTGTCTAGTGCTGAATTCTGATAGCTTACATTGCTTATGGCTATAGTTGTTGCAATGTTACAGTTTATCATATTCTAAAGGGCATTATAAAGGCTAAATATGGGCAAGATGCATGCAATGTTGGAGATGAAGGTGGCTTTGCTCCCAATGTTCAGGATAACAGGGAGGGTCTGGTCTTGCTTATAGATGCAATTGAAAAGGCTGGTTACACTGGAAAGGTAGAGGAAATGTTTTACTAGTTAGCCAACTTAAATGGAGGTTGCTTTTTCTTGGTGAAGTTTTCCTGGTTCTTCTGAACTTATGAATCATCTGGGGAGTGCAGATCAAAATTGGAATGGACGTTGCTGCCTCCGAGTTTTTAACAAAGGATGGGAGCTACGATCTAGATTTCAAGAAGCAGCCAAATGATGGAGCTCATGTTCATTCGGCTCTGAACCTGTGTGAACTCTATAGAGAATTTGTTAGAGACTTCCCAATCGTATCAATTGAGGATCCGTTTGACCAAGATGACTGGAGTTCTTGGGCATCATTGCAATCCTCTGTTGACATTCAACTTGTAGGAGATGATCTGTTGGTGACAAATCCAAAGAGAATAGCTGAGGCAATTCAGAAGAAGGCTTGCAATGGTTTACTTCTAAAGGTAACAACATAATATTGCTTTTCTACCATCTTGAAATTAGTTAGTATGTTGAGTTATCCAATATGATTATAACTTATTGCTCTGTGACTTCGGGTAAAGTTTTGATTCTAATACATGTTTTCACTTTATTTATCAGGTTCAAGCTTAAAGCGTCGTATGTCATGCTTAGATTCTTTCTCTAACTTATCACCATTCACGGTTTTCTCCTTTCTCTCTTTCCAAAAAAAAAAAAGAAAAGAAAAAAAATCATTTGATACTTATATTACCAAATTCTGTAATGTGCTGACAATTTCAGGTATAATTTATCTGGACATGACAGTTTATTGATTGGGATTTTTCATTATGCTGTATCTATTGGACTTTTCATTTCCATTGCATGAGAGCCTATTTTAATCGTCATGCCCCGGGCCCGCAAGCCCAATGGCGTGATATAAGATGTGGGGCCCACAAAAACGCCTTTTTTGGCTAAATCCACTGCTAAAAAGTGCCGGCACATGTTACACTTGAGCCTTGCACATATCTATTTAAGCCACTCGAACATTTCACACTTTCCCGATGTGGGACTAAAACACTTGGGGCAAGGTTGTTGATCGCGGATCGCGGCGCGTCGCGGCGAGGTACCGCTAAGGCTATTGCGCGCTATTGCGGCGAAAAAGCGGCAAATAGCGCACAGTCAAATAGCGGTCAATATAAATATATGTAAATATTCTAAATAACAAGAAAAATTATATAAAAAATACCATGAAAAATAAATACCATGAAAATGAAAAATTATGTAAATGACCGAGACAAGCTAATTTACTCCATCATATTTGAGAGTTGGCTCTTCATCTTTGTCTTATGCATATGGATCTTCATCAATAGCTCCCCAGCAAGACAGGAGCACAAAATCACCAAGACAAGCTAATTTAATTAAATATAGTACAAACTCCACAATCACCAGAACAATCTAAACCCCTAAGTTTAATATCAAATAACAAAAGTATAATTCCAACAAGACAATTGTATTGTTTAATTAACCAACAACAATTATCAACTAACCAACAATAATTGCAACCTAAAACAAGACTGTTAAGGAAAAAATAAACATAAACCTAATTTTATCTCAAAAGGGACTTTTTTTGACCGGAAGCACAAATCAACAAGAAAGCACAACATTGAAACTTATTAATCTGATTAATCCTAACCTTAGCCATGAAAAAACTAGCTAACTGTCTCAAACGCTGATTTAAAAAAAAATCAAATAACCGATGATAGTTTCAAAACCCGAATCCTAATTAGAGAGGGGATCAGATAAGTCATAACCTGAGTGGAGTGGTCCTAGAGAGATAGCCGCAAGAGGAGGCAGAGATGAAGGCGGAGGCGGCTTCGAAGACCGGAGGTGGAGACTGGAGGCGGGATGCGATGAGAGGAGGCGGTTAGGGCTTGGATCGGGACTTGGGATACAGAGGCGAGAGCGAGAGAGGGGGGGTTAATATACATTCGGGTCGGTTTCGGGTTCGGGTAGGATTTTTAGCCGAACTAAATAGCGCTGTTTAGCGTTTTTAAGCGCTTTTGAGCGCTAAACAGCGATTTTAAGCGCTAAACAGCGCTATTTGCGCGCATTAAGACGCTTTTAGAGGGAAAAGCGGTTTTCCCCGCGTAGATGTGCCGCGAGAACCTTAAGCGGAGCGGTTCTCCTCCGCTTCCGCGAATAGCGGCGCTATAGCGCCGCTATTCCCCGCTTTTTACAACAGTGACTTGGGGGTTTCACAATCACTCCGCCTTACATATGCGACGTCCTCGTCGCGACATGACAATTGGCACATCCAAGTATCGTCAGGCGATGTGAACTCTAGAGGTGACCCCCACCAAGTGAAACACGAGGCAATGTGAGACTAAATACTTGGGGATCTCACAATCACCCCACCATTTGTCACGCCTCGGGCCTGCGAGCCCGTTGGCACCATATAAGCCATGGGACTCACCAAGTAAATTGCGTTGTTTGGCTAAATCCACTGCCAAAAATTGCTAACACTTGTTACACTTGAGCCTTGGGCAATCATATCTATTTAAGCCACTCAAACATTTCATAATTTCCCGATGTGGGACTAAACACTTGGGGGTCTCACACTAACATATTTGGTTGATGCCGGCGCTAAATGCAGACATGAAATGTTATATCGCCACTAATTAAGAAAAAAAATTGTTACTAAAATGCATAGCGTTTCTAACAACCGCCTCTTAAGAAATGAATTAGTGTTTGATCTTAAAGATAACTGCATAGATGCTATTTCAGAAGCTACTCCTGCAGGCATGCAGACTTTTCATGTGGAGCTTACCCTTTCAGCTTTATCACATCATCTGCAATATTTATAAACAAGCATATTTGATCACGAAGCATTGGCTACTTTCTTTTCCCATGAAAAGAAGCAGTCAAGCTACAAGTGCATGATGTCCAAATTAATTCTTCACAGCTTGTTCTACAAGAATGCAAACACTTTCTGAACTTATTAGGCTACTTCTATTATATCAAATCCATATATGAACTTATTAGGCTACTTATATTATATCGATACATATATGAAGCCAACCACATCCACAAAGATCTTATTCAGTATGTGATCTTTTGCAGGTTAACCAAATTGGTACAGTTACTGAGTCCATAAGAGCTGCTCTTGACTCAAAAGCTGCCGGATGGGGTGTAATGGTCAGCCATCGTAGCGGTGAGACAGAAGACAATTTCATTGCAGATTTATCTGTTGGGCTAGCAAGTGGACAGGCAAGACCTCGATACTGGAGATTAAAACATAATTTGTACTCTATTATTTTTTAAGCGATGTAGTTTACATTTTCTTTTTTGTTTACAGATTAAAACAGGAGCCCCATGCAGGAGTGAGCGTTTGGCCAAGTACAATCAGGTAATAAGTGAGCCTCTTTTTTCTACATGATTGCAGTAGCTTTTTGGTCATGATGATTGATGTACAATTACATTTTCCTCAGAGTGATAATTTGTTAAAATTGGTAGTGTGTACATGTAGATAGCACTGTGCAGTCATCAGAATTAAAATATAAATAAATTAAAAAGTAACTTGCAAGAATTTTAGGTAAGTTGAGAAATCCTCCTGATGTGCTTCAAACTAGCAGAATATTCCCCTAACAGAATATTCCCCTAACACGTTGTTTGGTACTCGAGAATGAGTGGGAATGGAATGCTCATTCCCACTTCTCATCCATTCCCCTAAAGCGTATTTGTAGCACCTACTCCTCTTCTCAATTTGCAAAGCTCATCAACCTAATTGAAATACAACACCAACCTAATTTTGACTAACGAATAATGAGCCAGCTTCAGTGCTTCAAGGGATCAAACAAAAATCAAGATTACCACCTATGCCTGACATTTAGCTCACTATCTTGGCCCCATTTTGAACTCAAATACAGTTTTCATGGCAGAGGAGAAAGGAGAGGGTATAGGATCTATAGATTACTTTCTTGGGTTGGAGATAAAGGAATGGGTCATAAAACGTGTACCTCAATTCACACAACTCTACGGTTAGTGTAAGGGAGAGATCAGTGATGCGAATAACTTGTGTAAATAGAATATAATAGTTACCATTCTAATAACCCTTTTTATAATTGTTTCAATCAAGTCTAACTGATCCTGACCCAGATCCAACCTGTTATGGACCTATTGGTCCAAATTTAGACCAAACTCTATGCGGTTTTAGTTCTGGGTCTTAAAAAATTATACCAACCCAATAAAACCAGAAAAAACTGTAGGATGGGTAAAAGTTAGTTTTAAAATAGGAATAAGACTCCATAAATGACAGCTACAGTGGACCTTTGTGTTTCTGACATGAAAAAACCCGAAAAACATCCCATAACTGCATAACGACTGGATCATGCATGGAACTAAATTGTTGATCTGAGCTGATTCGACTTCGGTTGGGTCTCAGTTGATTATGAATAAGTTTTATTACTTAGAGCTTAGAACAAAAACCAATCAAGGTTTCATCCTTCATAATTAAGGTTTTTTTTTCCAGAGTAGTAGTTATTTTTTTTGTATGGGGCTGTTTGGTTCGCTATTATAAGGGGTGGAAAACTTAGAAAACCCCTCCACGTCAGATTTTTAGCCCTCCACGTCAGCTTTTTTGTTTCCGTCCATTTCTTTGTGCCGCTTTGGTTCGCTCGAATGAAAGAGGGAAAACTCTGCTGAAATCGCCGCCAACTAAGATTTTTTTCCCTCTCCTATTTCCTTCCCCAACCAAGTGAAATTGATGAAAACTCTGTCACGTCAGATTTTTTTCCTTCTCTGCTTTGTTTACAAAAGTTTTTCTTTTTTTCTATGCGAACCAAACATAAGAAAAATAAATACATTGGTTTCCCACCATTTTTTATGTGCGAACCAAAGCAAAACAATCTATTTCTTGGAAAAGTTTGGAAAACTCAAAACTTGTGTTTCTTTACATGGAATTGCATTTCTCTATATCAAGGAAACGAACCAAACAGCCCCTATATGTATTTGCTATCCATTTTTCTGGCCCTTTTCAGAAAAATGCTTCTGGCTGTGCTCCTGATCCAGATTTAGCCCATTATAAGAGCTTATTTTGACAATTTTGACTTTTACGATATAATATTACGAGACTGTTAATTGCTATATCACAAGTTCATGGATCTGTGTGCTCAAGTTTTTGTATTGCATTATCTCCTCCAGCTCAGTGGTTTAATTTACCTTTGTTTCTTGCTTTGTTTATCTGCAGCTACTGCGTATTGAAGAGGAACTTGGGGATGTGCGCTATGCTGGAGAAGCCTTCAGATCTCCTTAGGAATATAAATTTAGCATTCTTTTGGGAGAAATAAGGTACCGAGCCAAATGCATTACAGTTTAGGAGTTAAGGTCAAGCAAGAGGCCAGAATATTTTGTAAAATTGATCAGTTCAGATGTATCTGGAAATGACATCTGTTGATCTCAATTACCAGGGGTTATAATAGCTGTTTTACCTACTTGAAATAACTTTCAAGTTACAGTATCTTTGTATTGATGTTGTTAAATGGAATCATCCAATTCATCATTGTATTGGCTTCTGTTTTGTCGAGTAAGTTGTTGTTTGTAACCTTTGTATCAGTCTTTACGTCTTTACAGACTGAAAAGAGGAAGTTGTAACCGTATCTTGCCCATTTTCTATAATTCTGGAGTATTGCTTTTTGGCTATGAAATGGTATTGGACTCTTCATATGTTCCCTTTTGTTCTTGTAAGTTTTGTTTATATTATTTTGTACGAAGTAAAATGCTGATAAATGTGTAATACACAATTTATTTATTACAACACCAATATTTTATTAAATACTTCCCTGAAAAGCGGAACGACACGGTGATATTTGAGTTCTTACTGTGTATTGATACTTTTTGCATTAATATTCAGATATCAGATACTCATGTATCTATCTGTGCACTATATCAATGCAGTTAGGTTGTGTTGAATCTCAAGTTAAGTGTATCAGAACTGGAAACAGGGATTGATTTATTTAAGCGAAATCCTGGAGGTAATCATGAATAAGAGGTCAGTTGCTAATCTTGCTAAATATTCTCAGGATTTAGTGCTACTGCTTTCGCTTGGCTTCCAATATTAACTGGCTTTTTCTAGAGCATATATACAAGAAGATGATGCCGAAGAGAGATGCACTCTACTGTGGGCGAGCGCAAGTTAACCATACTTGAAAGTTAGCTTTTCACTTCTCTCTTTAGGGCCTGTTCGGTTGTTTTCCGCCAAAAAAAAGGAAATCAGCATTGTACCAAGAAATCAAATTCCAAACATTTCAATGTGCTTTCTCAGTTTTGAATTTTTTTGTTCGTTTCAACATGGAAATGAAGGAATTGAAATCAAAAGTCACATTTAATGTGTTCGTTTCAACTCTTAACATGATAGAAATGTATTGGCCTTTGTCACATTTCCCAGTTTTCTCCTGTTCGGTTTGCACAACCTCAAAGATTGAAAACAGCTCAAAAACAACTCCATCCTCCTCAACATATTCTCTCATAAAATTGCAAGAAAGCTGGGCAAAAATACTTGAGCATAGAGGCAATTAAAGCTGCGACATGGAAACAAGCCAAGACTCTCATGAATTAGCTGCAGAGGTAACGTGCTACTGTAACATACCGACACCACTAAAGCTTTGCAGATCAGGAGTAAACAAGGGCAAATACTTTTGGGGCTGCGCCAACTATCCAAATAGGCAATGCCAGTATTTCAGGTGGGCAGAAGAGCATCATGATAACAACCAGCGTAAGGTAAATTTTGAATGTCCCTCTCCTCAATCAGTTTCCCAAGTTAAAGATGTGGAAACCAAGCACTTGCGAAGAGAATTAAAGCTTGCAAACCAACAAGTTGTTTACTTGAAGAAATGTATTGTTGTCTTAGGAATATTTAGTATTTCCCTTGTGGTCATAAACATTGTAATCTGCTGTTTGAAAATGTAATGCAAAAGTTTGAGAATAATACAGGGACTTATGTGTGTAGGTAACAAAAACATGTGCAATGAAAGCATGTGCGTAACAAAAAGGTAACAAAAAGTTTCATAAGACTGCAAGGACTTTTGTGTGTAGGTAACAAATGTATCAGTTCAAATACACATGCAAAAGTTTGATATGAAAATGATGCTGCAGAACAAACCATTGCTGGAGTTTGTGACGAAAATACACATGCAAATGTCTGAGTTCAAATACACACCTACTGGAGTTTGTGACGAAAATGATGCTGCAGAATCAGGACAAGCATATATTTAGGTAACCAAAAACATGTGCGTTAAGAAAAAACACAAACTGCTGGTTTGGTATGTGCAAAAAACTCCAAAAGTGAGAACAAGAGGAATCACAAGCTTTGACAATCTGAACTGTCAAACCATGATAGCAATGAAAGCATGACAAGCAAAGTTTTATATGTCGTAGTGTTAATAACCCAATTCAACAACTTAAAGGGGTTACATTCCATTGGTGATAATGTTAAATAAAGTTTGACAAATTGTGCTCAGATATATGTCTACATTATCATATATCCCACACCAGTAAACAATTGCACCACAATGTTGGCTGCATTCCTATACATGTTACTCCTTATCTCACACACCAGTAAACAATTGCACCACAATGTTGGCTGCATTCCTATACATGTTACTCCTTATCTCATTACGCAAATGTTTGGATTACCTCGCCAAAACATTGCATGTACTATCTACTGTTGAAGAATATGAGGTAAAAAAGACAGTCATCATTGCACACGTAAAACATGCATATAGGTAACAGACCTCCTAACCCAGCTCAGTAACAAATACAAGTGCTCAGGTGATGATACGGGTGTATCTTCTCTTCAGGAGCTTAGCGATCCTCATGGGAGCTTGAGGATAGAAGATTCTCATATCTTGGGAATAGGAGCATGGATGGAGCCAAGGAAGACGGTGAAAGAAGTCAACAGGAGCGAAACGCGAAAGAACAGGGTAAACTGGCAGATCTCTGGCCGGTCGACCGCAGCACACATGCCGGTCGACCGGAAAACCTGCACGATGCAGGGTTTGAGAAAACTCTCTGGCCGGTCGACCGGACCAAGTCTGGCGGTCGACCGGATCGCGATTTCTGGGTTTCCTGTTTCGTTTTGGATTCTGTTTTGACAGGGATTCCTGAACTGGCAGATCTCTGGCCGGTCGACCGCAGCACACATGCCGGTCGACCGGAAAACCTGCATGATGCAGGGTTTGAGAAAACTCTCTGGCCGGTCGACCGGACCAATCCTGGCGGTCGACCGGATCGCGATTTCTGGGTTTCCTGTTTCGTATTGGATTCTGTTTTGACGGGGATTCCTGATTCTTTTGGGCTTGTTTATTTACAAGATTGCCATCCACGTTTGCACATCTATAAATAGGATTGTTTTAGGGTTCTAAACAATCAGATCTCAGAGAGAAGGATCAAGAGAAATTCTAACAATTGTATTAGGGTTTAGAGAGAGTTGATGGGTTGTTCTCAATTCTAACGAGATTGTGAGGGAGAGATTGTAATCTTTGTTCTTCATAATCTAGAGAAAGGACGAGACCGTCAAGGCTGCACCGCATCAAGGGGGTAAGAATTCTTACCAGAATCCGAAGATTGATTTTAGAGTGGAGATTCCTATTTATGATGGAGTGTTGACGTCGAGAGGCTTGATGACTGGATCGAGCGGATGGAGACGTATTTTACTCTTTATGGCTTCTTTATGGCTATTCGTCAAAAGAGAAGATTGTGTTCGCGACATTGAAGCTTTCAGGGCACGCGTTGACATGGTGGAAATCCTATTGCAAACAGGAGAAGAAAGCAGTATCGTGGAACAAGTTCAAGGAACTACTTAGGAAACAGTTCTATCCGGTGGGATTCCTTGAAGAACGTTGGTACAAGTGGTACGGCTTGCGCCAAAGGGTCAATCAAACCGTTCAAGAATATACTACGGAGTTCCAGTAGCAGGCGATGGTCCTTAATTACGACAGAGGAATATTTCTTGTTTATGAAGTATATGGCGGGATTGAGCGATTACATCCGAAAGGAGATGAGGTTATTCACGGTCGAGACTATTGCAGATGCGAGCGTGAAGGCCATTGCCATTGAGGGCAAGCAAAAGAAGAGCAACGAAGCAAAGGGGGATGCAAAGCAAGTTGGAGGCGAGTCTAGTGGTTCTCAGTTTAAGGAGGAGAAGAAGAAGGGTGATCCAGGGAAAACAGGGCTGATTTGTAGTCACTGCGAGAAGACAGGGCACGAAGCTGATCGGTGCTGGGAGAAGTATCCTCATCTCAAACCAAGAGGGTTGAAGAAGAAGGAGGAGAAAAAGGCATACATGATAGCTCAAGGTCCGAAAGAAGTCCCGAGGATGACAGAGCCTAATAGCAGTCTCAATCTTATGACGGGGAAACAGGCCACGAAAGAGGACGACGACCCGACAGAGCAGCTCTTTGTTCTTAAGTTGCAAGTGAAGACCAGTTTGGTTGATACCATAGTTGATCCGGGCAGCGAGAAGAATTTGATATCTGAAGCCTTGGTTCAGAAGCTGGGTCTGAAGACGGTCAAGCATCCGAAGCCTTATCCATTGGGGTGGATTCAGAAGGAGGAGAAGCTATGTGTAGTTGATCAATGCACTGTAAGATTTGCGCTCCATGAGTCATATATTGACAAGGTCACATGCGACGTAGTTCCATTGGATGTTTGTCAGATTATACTGGGCAATCCGTACTTATGGGATAGATATGCGATCTACGAGAGGCGGGCTCAGAAGTATACATTCACCAAGGGTGGTGAAAAGTTCATATTTCGTTCGGCATCTCTTCCGAAGGAGACAAGCTTGGGAACGGTGACGCGAGCGAAGAGACTAGTGAATGCAAGCAAGAAGTTTGTCTCGCTGTGCATTAGACTTCCAGAAAAGCCATCGATTAAGGATTGCAACTTGGAGCGAGAAGTGACTACGACGAGACGCGGGATGAATGAGTTATTTCCGATCGGACGTCGAGATCAGATTCCTAGCAAGGCCAGGTGGTTCAGAAAAGGAGGAGGGGCTCGCGAGTTCCCTCAGTTTCAGTTCTAACTTGAACGGGACTTCAAGTTCCTAAAGGGGGGACCCATGATACGGGTGTATCTTCTCTTCAGGAGCTTAGCGATCCTCATGGGAGCTTGAGGATAGGAGATTCTCATGGTATCTTGAGAATAGGAGCGTGGATGGAGCTAAAGGAAACGGCGAAAGAAGTCGGAAGAAGCAAAACGCAAAAAGAACAGGAAAGACTGACAGTTCTCTGTCCGGTCGACCGCAGCACGCATGCCGGTCGACCGGAAAACCTGCACGCTGCAGGGTTTGAGAAAATTCTCTGGCCGGTCGACCGGACCAAGCCCGGCGGTCGACCGGATCGCGATTTCTGGGTTTCCTGTTTCGTTTTGGATTCATTAGGGTTTAGAGAGGATTGAGAGGTTGTTCTCGATTCTAGTTAGATTGTGGAGGGAGAGATTGTAATCTTTGTTCTTCATAATCTAGAGAAGGTATTTTCCTTCGCCTTATACTGAATTGTTCTTGTGTTTGGTCATCCTCTTCTCAACCCACCTTTTGGTAATTCCGCGACCAAAGGGTGCTCGCACGGCGACTCGTATCAGGTGATAATGTCTGAGTTCAAATACACATCTGAACAGGGGGAGATGAAAATGTCAATCAAAAAGCAAATAGTGATGATAAATGATGGACGA